ATAAAAGAGTGAAAGTGGCAAGTGGTATTCTAAACGAGCGCCAACCACTTAGCAAAGTAAATGGCAGCTGGCACTATGAGCCGAACGCCAAAAACTTGCTAAAAAATAAAAGAGTGAAAGTGGCAAGTGGCATTCTAGCCGAGCGCCAACCACTCAGCAAAGTAAGTGGCAGTTGGCACTATGAGCCGAACGCCAAAAACTTTCCAAAAAATAAAAAAAGTGAAAGTGGCAAGTGGCATTCTAGCCGAGCGCCAACCACTCAACAAAGTAAATGGCAGCTGGCACTATGAGCCGAACGCCAAAAACTTGCCAAAAAATAAAAGAGTGAAAGTGGCAAATGGCATACTAGCCGAGCGCCAACCACTTAGCAAAGTAAGTGGCAGCTGGCACTATGAGCCGAACGCCAAAAACTTGCCAAATAATAAAAGAGTGAAAGTGGCAAATGGCATTCTAGCCGAACGCCAACCACTCAGCAAAGTAAGTGGCAGCTGGCACTATGAGCCGAACGCCAAAAACTTGCCAAAAAAAAATAATAAAAATATAATAATAATGTGTGGCAAAGTGGTACGCTAGCCGAATGCCAACCACTAACATACAGAGAAAAATCTGATCAGATAGCATTAAATCATTATGTAAAGGGATTTATGGCAAGAGTTCAATCAAAAGTCAGCCATCTCATTAATAATGAATTTTCAGAGTTACAAAAAGTGAGGTATACAGACGACAAAAATGCAAAAGGAAGGAGGTCGGTACATCAGAAAAGTTCTAACTGGAAGCATTTGCCCCGTCAGCTTCTTGATGGTGTTGAACGGTCCCCACATCACTGTTGGCGGTTCCGTCCTCACAAGGAGGAGAATCAAACTGAATGACATAATCATTCTACTAAGTTCTATCCTCATTGGCATTGGAAGAATCATTTTGCCGAGGCTCATCCTCAGCAGCAATAGCGGAGGGAGCCACGGTGGACAGAGGAAGAACGCCTAGAGGTTGAGCAGTAGAGGGAGTAGGGATAACCCTGGAAGAGGCAATCTCTTGGCATTCATCAAATATGCCCTCAGTAGGGGTGGAGTCTGGATCGACATAAACACCCGAAGGATCAATCTCTAGCTCTTTGTCAACCTCATCAGGGGTAGAACCGGTCTGATCTTCAACTGGAAAAAGATCAATATAACCCTCTCGGAACCCCTGAGCATATCTGAGGGCCCCAACCCTGAGCGTGTAAAGCCAGCATACCACCATTTACCTTGCTGATGGTGCTGAGGGTAAAGCATCACGCTCCTCTAGAGCTCTTTTCTCAAAGGCCATCCGAGCGGATTGCTTATCACTCAGAAGGCGCTGAAGTTCTTCCTTCTCAGCCTTAAGAGATTCTTGCTCGGTATGCCAGACACTCTTCTCAAGTTGCAGAGCGTTCTTTTCGTCTTGAAGGGAGTCCGTCTCCTTTTTCAGAGCGTCCCTCTCCTTCTCAACTTTGTTGAGCTGAACCATCAGCTCGGTATTCTGAGCACCTAAAGCATCGTTCTCCTTGTTAGCTGCACCAAGGTTGTCAGAGAGCATATGAACCTTGGCATTTACCAGCTCAACCTGTTTCTGCATGGCCATCATCTCGTATAGGGTCTGTAGAGATATACATGATAACTGATTAAGCCGAGTAAATGGTCAGAAGAAATCGAATGTAAAGACTATGTAAAGATTCATTGACTGAGGGACAGAAGTTACCTCCATGGCAGATAAGGGGAACCGGCTGAACACTTCCTTTTGAGACAGACCCTTGGCTACCTCAATGTCCTTAGGAGTCTACATGCTCCTGTAGTATGCCATAGCGGTCTGACCGTCCTTGAACATGGTCTCGTCCGGCTTTACAGACGATCCGTCCGTTCGAATAAAGTGAGGGTTCCATGGTGCTATTACAGAGGCAGAGGCATTGACAGAGGTATAACCAGAGGGGGTAGGAGGCCTAGTCAGAGGGTGTACGGACACTCGGCCAAAAGGCCTAACCCTCTGTGACAGAGGAACGTCATCAAGGCTGAGAGCACTATCAGGCTGATGCCTTTTTCCTCTCGTTTTTTACCGAGCGGTAGCAGTAGCAGAGCTGGGAAGGTTGCTGACAGAAGGGGTCACATTCGGATTGATAGTCGTAGTGTTGGAGATCGGGTCGGTAGCTGTCACGTTCGGATCGGTGGAAGGAGTGGTATCAGAAATAGTGGCAGAGGAAGATATTGAAACTAGAGAAGAAGTTGTTGCAGGGGCAACAACGGTCCTGGGGGCAGCTTTCTTCCTACCGAATGAAGGGATCTGGAGCTGACTCATTGTCTTGCCAAGGGCTAAGAGAGCAAAAAGGTTGTCTGAGGTAAGGAAATCCGAGCAAGAGGGAATGTTGGTCAAAACGTACTTCTTCAAATAGTTATCCCTATCCCTGCAAACACCGTAGCTCAAATCATCACAAGGAATGCCTAAGGAACGGCATAAGAAAGTACAAAAGCGAGGAACGTAAACCTCGCAAGGACAGTCACTCTTATGGATTTTGTATTTTTTATATGAAGAGACAGAACACTCTCCAAAAGCGTTCGGGATAGGGAAATCCTCTGCGGCTGGAGAAAACCAGGCTCCCCTAATCCCAATTATATTTTTCCTCCAACCCTTCTTAGATTTGATTTTATCTTTGCAAATGGACCTCTTCTCAATTGGGTAGAAGTGGTAAAACGATTCATCAATTCGGATTTTGCTAACCTTGTAACAGAGGAGAAGATCTACGAGGTCCAGATCTATACCTCTATCACGGTTCAGAAGCAACATAACAGATAAAACCCTAAGGAAATTTGGGTTTACTTGCAAAGGGGAAAGTTTCAGTTTATTAAAAACATAGTTAAAGAAGGGATGCAGAGGGAACCTAATGAGGTTAAGATAAAGATGGGAAAATAGAACCTCGCCGGGAATAAGGCCAGCACCAGTTCTAATATCCACCTCTTTAGGGCAATTTTCTAATTTGTATATTGTCAGAAAGATGAAGTCTCATGCGAAGAACATCTAGATCTATAGTCATGGTGAGAATGAATGAAGATTTTAAGGGAGAAAAAGAGGTTTTCCGAAAGAGAAAGGCAAACAAAACTAACCTCAGAGAGTGAAAACGTCAAAGAGTACTGCAAGGTCGCTGAAAAAAGGAACTTTTGCAAGAAATCGCAGGAGAAGATTTGATTCGGAAGAGACGGTAAAGAAGATTGACGTAGCATCCCTGAGGCTTATAAAGACAAGGTGGGCCCGAAGACCAAGGATTCGGGAAATCGAGGAGTTTTTTTTGAATCTCGGAGCATCGATTCCCGAATCCAACCATCCATTTTGCCAAGAGATCTTCTCGAGGCGATAAGTCATGATCAGCAGCTTCTAGCAATTACCCCCTAATTAATTAGGGAGTAATTATGGGGGCAGTTGAGGATACTAGAAGGAATATGGGCCGGATATGATCCGCGGACATGGTATCGGGTCAAACTATTGAATTCAGCCCATACAGAAGCACCGCAGAATGGGCCGAGCCCGGAGGATCCATCGAAGAAGGCCAAGCCCATTAGAAAGAAGGCCCAAAACTGGTAGTCCAGCAACGCTTGTAATTGCTTATAAAAAGGCAGTGAAGAGAGTGGGGGGGCGGGGGGGGGGGAGAGCGAGGGGGAGATTTTTTTTAATTGAAAATGTAATGAGATTCTGTCTAAATAGAGAGAGAAAATTATTTGCATCTTCAAATGATAAAATGTTCAACTTGAATTTAAAACATGTATAATTTCTTGTTTAATTTTCCTCTCCTTTATTTTGAATTTAGAATGGACACGGTATTATTTAATTATTGTTGAATAGTTTATGCTCGTCGTGGTGCGATTAAAACGTGCTCTCTGTGTCTCATATGAGTTGTTCATCTTTCTATTTTTAATTGTCCCATAATAATTGTCCTATTTCAAATATCGACCAATCCAATATAGAGTACTTACACCTGGTGTACGATTTACGCCCCCTTTTTTTTTTTTAATAGTAGTAATAAGTAAGTTCACGAAGGGTGACATCAATAGGATCAGGATAGCATTAATGCAATTCTAGAGAAATATTGTTCTTTCCATCTAAAACTAGAATATAAATGTGTTTTAATCACTTTTATTTCAACTAGAAAGACACATTGTTTATACTCATTATGGTGCTCAACTGCAGATTAGAACATGGCAAATAAAGTCCAATGCACACATATTTTTTAATTACAAAATTAAAAAACAAATAAATAAACCAGCGAGAAGATACTCTTTCTTGTAATCGCAAATACACAAATTATTTAGATAAATTAACCATTAAATGATATAAGTCACGTGTAGGTCTCGCTAACTCATTTAGGTGGTCCACTTGTTAGCCTTACTAATTTTGAAAATAATTTTATTTTTTTTCTTGAAAAGTTATAGAACACTACTTTTCATACATACTTTACTAATAAATAAATAACAAATAATTTAATCAACTTATACTGTAGGTTTTTTTTTTTTTTTTTTTTTTTTTTTTTTTTTTTTTTTTTTTTTTTTGTAGCATAACTCGTTAGTTTTTCAAAATTAATCAGTAATAAAAACAAGTGGTTTTACAATTTCACTTTGATATTTTGTTATAGATCACATCAATGGCCTTAATTCCTAGTTCTTACTTATTATTTAATTTTGAAATTTCATATATGTGTTTTTAAGGAGTCGATCAAAATCCTCTATTGTAACGAATATGGTATTATACAATTAAATCATTAGTCAATGCATACGTTTTCAAGTCCTTATAAATTAAAAGAGGTTATTAGTTATAAGAAAAATCAAGTCTCATTCTAAACATTAAGCAAATGTATATCTATTAATAAGAAAATAAATGTTGATTAATTAATATCCTGTAGGATTGGATTAGCCTAAAATTTGAATAAAAGTCTGCCACGTCATCTTCTCCCAAAAAAATCGAAATTTACAAGTCTACCACCAATAAATCGCAAAAAATGGGAAATCTCTGCTTTTTACTACCAGACTCCCCCTCTCTCTCTCTATCTAAGTATTTCTCTCTAAAATTTAGCTTTCAAAACCCTAGCCTAGTAGCCTTGGACTTGAAGAAGAAGTATGCAAATTTCTGGAGTCATAGCGGACGTATCGGTAGTTAGTCCCTCCACCGGCGGCTTCAAGTCCCCGGAATTGAGGCATTTTCACACATTCTCCGATTCAAAGCTATTTCTTTCTTCTGGAATCATCAGAGTAAGTTTTCATCTCCTTGTAACACACACACACATATATATGTATGTATATAAATGAGCATGTTTTTGTATTGTCTTTATTTGTTTGGGGTTCGGGAGGCTTTGCTTGGTTGCCGAGAAACTGTAGGAAACGAAATGATGTTAAAAATCCGAACCTTATTAGATATTGAAGTAGTTTGGAACCCGAGATAACGAATTCATAGAGCGAATTGAGAGTGGAATACAAGCATTTGCGATAGAATTCAGAAAATGAACCTTTTTTTTTTTTTTTTTTTTTTGGGAGAACAAAACCACAATAAATTTAAATCCAAGGGGCCTGATAAATTGGATTCAGCACTCAAAATATGAGTTCTGAACATGTTTTCTGAATAAAAGTGAATGTTTTTCGCACACCTTGTGCTTGGTCAATTTAGTAGCTTTGACTGGAAAAGAGAAGGGTTTTACATTTAATATACCTACATTTGAAAAAAAAAAAATTAAAAAAAAATAATAATGCTCTTTTCTGAAGGTAGATATTGTGTATGAGTTCTCATTGATATAAATTTGTTTTGACAAATGAAATGCCTTGAAGTACACTAATGTAAAAGAAAGGATCAACTTAAAAAATTTATTGACTTCTAAGAGGCTTAATGCTGCTTGTGGAAAAAGTTTTATTTTACTGGCAGCATATCAGAACAAAACTTAGAAAGAAAATTGAGAACATAATATTTCATTTTGATGTTTTTGGTCCCCTCTTTAACTTAATTTAAGCCAAATTCTTTTAAGTATTTTCATTCTTTTTTTCAACTCCAACAATGGATTTTTTTTCCCCTAAAAATATTGTGTCCAGGTGGCCCGAAAAAGGTTTAGGACTTTTGGTGGCTTAAAAGAGAATTAAGTCATTCTAATAATATTACAAGCTTAGATACGAGAGGCAGTACTATAATCCTTTTGAACCTTATTGATGGATGCTTATTGTACTTTTTTTCTCTCCAGTAAATTGCTTAATGTACTTCTCATATTCAGAAATGAAATTCTTTTATGTATTAATTTGGATTTTCTACACTAGTTTGTATTGTAATTGAGTTAGTTAATAATGTGCAATGAATATCTGGTTTGCATATTGTGGTTGATGGTGATTCACTGTTTTATAAGATAAGCTTGTTGTAAATGGGCCAATATATGTATCTACTTGTTGCATATGTGATACGGCGATTATCTAAGAATTAATAAAGTAACTGTAACTGAATGAGTACTCAAATCTCAATAAGCATGTTGAGTTTAGCAAGTAAAATGCTTGGATCCAACATTAATGATATGCATGAGAGGCTGATGCTCAAAAAATGCTTTGTCAAATTCAACCTTCTGTCTTTCAAATTCTGTATTCTTTGATTGATTGCTGAGGGAAAATGTTAGAAGTGAAAAGAATTTAAATTTTGAACAGCAGTTCTTTCCTTATTGGCGTCCTCAGAAAATAGTAACTCCAGTTAGTGGAGCCTAATGAACGTATTTGGTAAAGTTGATATTGATTTTTTATTTCAATAAAATGAAATTCGGAAGATTTTTTGAATGAAACTAGTTGATGAGAGTTGTTTCGGAAACAAAAAGAGTAAAGTCAAATTCATTTGGGTATGTTGGATCAGATCTTTTGCTTTGACAGAAGCTTTTGGACCTAACGAAAAGCTTTTGGCTTTCTGATTATACTTCACCTGCTTGCTCGCCGCCGCTCTACTCCTCTTGAAGGGACTGATATTTCTGGAACTTTTGAATTCATGCCTTTGCGATGCTCATTTATGTGTTACTCACAATCTCATTTATTTTGTAGAGTTGTCCTTCATACTCCTTTCCAAAATTTGGAATCAGGTCATTCAAGTCCCTAGCAAGAGGTTTAACAGTGAGGGCATCAGGGAATTCCGGTGACAATTTGGTGCCCATTGCTCCTCTTGGATTTGAATCCCCTGTTGGTCAGCTTTTGGCACAAATTTTGCAAACCCATCCACATTTGCTCCCTGCAGCCATTGATCAACAACTTGAGAACCTTCAGACTGATAGAGATGCCCAGAGAGAAGAAGCTAAACTTTCATCACAAGATCTCCTCCTCTACAAGTAAGTTCTTTCGTTTCCATAGATGTGTATGTCTATGTATGTATGCATATATATGATTTGCCTCCATTTCAGTAGCTACACAATCATTCTCCTTTTCTTTTTTTGGGTTGTAAATGACTCGCACTCCCATTTACCCCATTGGGGATTTGAATTCTTAACCTTCCATATGGAAGGAGATGGTAATACCACTTGGGATAAGCCCTTGGTTGTATGGCCCTTTGGGTTTCTGTTTTTATGTAACAGTGTTCCACTTGAAAATTTCTGCACATTCTGAAGCAACCATTCAACAAAAATAATATAATGAAAGTTCATGCACAGCTATATGGTAAACTTGAATTATTGAACATGATTGCTGGATGTATGTCCGACCAGAGACATCAAACACAATATCTTCTACTCATGTCCGTGCACCATGTATTTGACATGGGCTATCCATGCATTCAGAAGAGTACATGTAATAGAGGTTATAACTCTATTATAGGGAACATACCTTAAGAAAACTTGCACATTTCCTCTCTTTTTTCTTCTATTCTGCATTTATTTTGGTATACCAATGAACTGTCACTTTTTGAGATCGACACAGTACACAAATAGGACATATCTTCGATTTTTAGTCTCTTAAAATCATCAGATTTATAGTGAAAGGCCAGCATTGCATAAGTTCCATGTTAATGAAATGTCCACAAACTAGGGGACTGGAACCGGAAATGCAAATATTTGTATTCCATATTTTCCTTTTTGCGGTTATAACAATGGGAGATAAAAATAAGCAGTTGTGATCCTATCTCTCTCTTTACTATGTACTTTTCCTTTTAAAATGAATGTTCCCCCAACATGAGGCATGATTTCATCTCAGATTTCTGGTGTGATTGCCTATGAACATTTTTATTGTTTCTCTCATCTTTTCTTTCTTTTTTCTTTTTCTTTTCCCTTATGCCACTGGAATTGCATCTAGACTGTTGTCAACTTGTTGATATCTCTTCTCTCTACTTAAAAATTCTCTTGTTGCCAGCATAATCTCATCCTAACAATGGGTTTGCTTATGCTTAAAAACTGTTCATCCTCACATAAGGTGGACTGGTCTTTTATTGAGGCACTGGGCATAATGGCCATGCTCACATCTAATCCAATATCTCTCTTTCTTTAAGCATAAACCCAATCTATTCTGCACTGCAATTCTATAATTCAGATTTATTACATAGTATCATTTTGTTTGTACGTTTTTCTGTAGCTGGGAAAGGCTTTTGTTGTTATTATACGTTTTTTGTGCATATAAGAAAGATCTATTCTGTGCAGGGCAAAAAGTATGACTGACATACAAAGAGTGAGATGTTTGGATAACTATGACCGATAGGTTGCTATTCTCAAAGATTAGAAACAACAAAAAATAGTCTGAAAACTCGTTTGGCTAACAGATTATCGGATCTTGTTATATGAAATTAGAGTGATAAAAAAAAAAACCTAATATAAGATAATTATCTATTTTAGTTTTGTGATTTATTTTTTATTTTTATTTTTATGAAGTGATTCAGAATTTTTTCCAAATAACTGAAGCAAACAAGCACCATATAGTATATATGTGGTACAGAAATTTGTTTAATCTTTACTTATCAAAAAAATAAATGTGTTTAATCTTTATATAGGATTTGGGATCAATAAGAGAACTTTATGAGCAGCCTACCTTGCCCCTAGTGTAAAAGTTTTGGATTTCTGTGATTGGTTTAGGTTGGCTTATGTTGGGGGTTTAAAACTTGATTTAGGTTTTGGCTAAGTTTGGATTTATGTATGCTCCATTAAAATTTTCATGATAATGATAAAAAGGCCACCATCCAATGCTGTTTCTGCTAGTGCATAGTTTTGAGAAGGATGGGCAAATACAAACCTAATTTCCTGCTTTTTTCTGGATTAAATGGCTACCTCAAACTCAAAACCATGTTGATACACTTAGCTTGAGTTTTGATCATTACATGAAGTGATGGCTCTTTCATGTATAATAACGTTTTATGATTGATAAACATGTATAGAGTTGTGTCATGGTGGAAACTTTTCACCATACTCTTGTGGGATCTTTTAACATTCCATATTCTTGTAAGAACCACCACCACCACCAAAGACTTTTCCCAATTACTTGGGGTTACAATATTCTTTTTATTTTGGATTTTTTGACTCTTCAATTCTTAGTAACTTACAGTATTGGTTATAATTGGTACTCATGATTTGGCTGCTATGATACTTATTAAAAAAAATGATTTGGCTTCTATGGTAGTACTAGAATACTAGTTCTAGCTATTGTTTTTTAATCTGTTACACAAACGTACTCCACGGTGAATCCATTGTTGGTTTTGTATGCGTAACATAACATGTTATACAACATTGAAAATTGACGTGTGCATGCTAGTAAAGATCCTAAAGTTGAAGTATCACTTGCATAGCGACAAATTATATCACATTGTGTAAATATAGGAGAAAATGAAAAGATGCCTGCAGTGTGCTGAAGTGCGTAGTTTCTGCAAGCTATCATACTTCATCACATGAATATATGCAAATTATGGATATATAGACAAACTTTATCGGGTCACCAGCTCCGCAACATTTTACTTACAAAGGATTGAGCCTTCATGGACATATTTAATCAAGTCAGGGTAGAATTAAGATTGGATTTTGAACTTCTTTGTGTTTGAAAACAATTTTACTCGAATCTACCAAGACTTCTGGATCTGTTGAGTTATTCCGAATCTCTCATTCATGTCCTTGTAGTGGTACATCATTTCTCACCAGTGGTATGCATGGAGAGGTTAACCGTGTCAACTCACGTGAAATGCTGTTCTGTTTTTACTTTAAATACATTTTTGTTTTTTTTCATGTGAAAGATTCTATTGTGCATTCATGTTTCCCGTAGCTAGTTGTCCTTAGGTAGATGTAGTTAACTAAATTAGAGGGAGAAAGTGTATCTAACACAATCTAACACTTCACCTATTTTTAAATACTTTTCCCTTAGTGTCCTTGTAGCGGTAATAGTACATCATTTCTCAGCAGTTTTTTTTTTGCATCGGGAAGTTAAACGTATTAAAGTATTGGTTAATGTGAACAAATTCATATTATTTATAGATGTCATTACTATTTGAGAGGGAAAAAGGTGTACATGTAGCATTCTAATACTTCACTTATTTAGAGATTTTAACATGGATTAGTGAGACAAATTGCATCATTAATGAAGTTCTTGTGTGACAGTTTGTCACCTTCTGCTTGGACCATTTCTCCGTAGACTTATCGACAGAAATAAAATTCAGCACCTTCATGTTTCAGTAAAATATCTATTGAAAAGCTAGACCGCGTTATTATGCTGGTAGCAGAAATTATCTAGAAAAATGGAATCTGGTCTTGGACACCTCTGATAGTTTCCACTGACCAGAGCAACAAACTTAACTAAATGTCTGATCAGTGGGCTAAAGACATTGTATACTCTTTTGCAGCCTGTCCAAATGATTTTACACTGTTGGAAACTGTTATATGTTTGATTGTAGTGAATGGTTAATAATCATATATGAGGTTATTTTTTGGTATAGCGGTTAATATAAGCGACTAATTAAATAGTGGTCCCCATGCTTTGGTGCTGATGTGGCGATATTGAGGGGTAAATTAAGATAAATTTTAAAGTATTTAATGGGGAGGGAGCCGAACCTGACATCAACTCCTAGGAGTCCTCATAAATCTAGCATAACAGAAAGTTGGATGAACTAACAAAAGAATAAAAGTTTATATAAAATGAAGAAAGTTAAGCTGGTAGTTGGAGAGTTGGAGTAAAGACGAGAGGCTTTATTCACAATTGACTAATTCTTTCGTTAACTTTCTAGTTTACTGGGTTGGAAGAGCACTTGTCTGAACAATGGGAACATTAGGGTCAGTGATACCACATTCTGCAGTGTATGTTGGTGCATTGCTCACACCAGTTGTTCAACTGTTTGTCAATCCTGTCAATTCTGCTTCTCCCATTCAAAATTAAAAAAACGATTTAGTATGCTTTTGCGTGCTTCATGTTTAGCAACAGGATTTCATAAGAAGTGGTCTTCTCTCATCTGTTTGATACTTTGCTTGCTAAATGATATAACTGCTGGCTGAATGAAAATGATAATTCGGTTATCACACTTAATTTCAGGAGAATAGCTGAGGTCAAGGAGAAGGAAAGGCGCAAGGCATTGGAGGAGATAATATACTGCTTGATTGTACAGAAATTTGTAGACAATGGAATTTCAATGATCCCAAAAATATTGGCAACCTCAGATCCTATTGGCAGGGTAGATTTTTGGCCAAATCAAGAACAGAAACTTGAATCTGTGCACTCTGCTGAAGCATTTGAGATGATACAGAGCCACTTATCTATTGTCATCGGGGAGCCGGTCGTGGGACCCCTGGATACCATTGTTGAGATCAGCAAAATCAAACTTGGAAAACTGTATGCTGCTTCCATTATGTATGGGTATTTCCTGAGAAGAGTTGACGAGAGATTTCAACTCGAGAGATCCATGAACACCCTTCCTGAGCGTATAAAGAAAAACCAGATGAGATTTGACGATCCAGCACCAGCAAACCAGCTCTGGGATCCAGATTCATTGATACGGATCCCACCTGACGATGGAGACGGAGAGAGCTTAATGGATTCTGGCGAGGAAAAGTCGTATAGGTTGAGATCTTATGTGATGTATCTGGATGCAGAGACACTTCAGAGATACGCAACCATAAGATCCAAGGAAGCTGTTTCTTTGATTGAAAAGCAAACTCAGGCACTGTTTGGGAGGCCTGATATTAGGATTGCCCAGGATGGATCCCTTGACACGTCTAATGATGAAGTTGTTGCTGTCACATTCTCTGGATTGACGATGCTGGTATTGGAGGCGGTTGCATTTGGATCATTTTTATGGGATGCAGAAGGCTATGTTGAATCCAAGTACAACTTCATAAAAAGCTAGAGGTGAGTTTCTTTTGTGAGGGGGTGTGGTTTATAACCATTTGTTTTTAGTTTTGTAAATGTTGAAATCCTGCTAATCCGGCATTTTTATGTCCATTTTTTCGTCATGGACAAACATGATCAAACAAGATATCAATGTTCATAACAGTATATATACCTTCAACATAACAAAGTCTTCTCTTTGGTGAAGTTGCATTTACAAGCAAATGCGCTCACACAGCGCACTCATGTACACACAAATGGCCAGCAAATTGCTTTGACGTCAGTAGGGTTTGGCGTTCGGATTTTGTTTGGAATGGTATTTGCAGATTGACTTTGTGAATTTTTAGTACATTGTATTTTTTTGTATTCAATCTATTTCTAAGATGAAATTTCTGGTAAAAATTTCATCTTTTAATGGGATGTTGAGTGTTCGAGTCCCGAGTGGGATAATAATTGATGCGTTTATTTCTTAACTACCAGAAAGAAGAAGAAGTTGAAATTTACTCCAGTGTCTGATTTTTTAGGAAAACTTTTTTTGCTTTCTGTATTTTGAAGATATGAGTTGTTGGCCAACCGATCCTTACCTTGACCTCTTTCTGGAGAAGATCTTATATTCATCATGTTTCTATGCATTTCCAGATAACTAAAGAACTAGCACCGGATCAAGGACTTGCTCCGTCTCTACCAACTGTAACGGACCAAGTGCTCCGTGGTTTGACATGTTTCGCAGTCTGACCCAAAAGCTTAAAGTAATTAGGTAATGCTAACACTCAATCAGTATATACTCGATCACTTTTCCATAAGGATATGATGTCGGAGAAGACCTCCTTGTAACACTTCTACATATTGCATATATTGTGTGCTATTAAATATATTTCTCTTATAATCCCAAGGGGTTGGCTCCAATGGTGAATCCCTAGGACTTAGTGCCTCGTGAAGTATTAAGTTTTATGTTCGAATTTTTTCAAGTGCGATCAATTCTTTAGGAGTTACGGCCGCGGATATAGACCGAGCTTTATCCGATTCGTGTAGAGGGGGTCGCTTTGCACGGGTCTCGTGAATTTGTTGAGCAAAAGTCCCCAACACCCCAATTATCAAAATATATATATATTTCTACCTTATGGTACTGTTTACCTCCTGTTTTTTCCCCTATAACATCTAACAAAACAATCTTATTGGATGATCATTGTTAGTCCTATTTATGCAGGATTAAGGCAAGATGACTATCACAACTATCATGGCATCCTTTTCAAAAGCATTGCTTATGGAACATCCAACAAAATTGGAACTAAAAACAAAACAGTAGCAATGATCCTATCTAAGGGCCTGTTTGCCAACTAATTTTGTTTCGTTTTTTTTGTTACGGGTGGTGTGTTGTAGCAAAGCAAAACACCAAAACAGTTCGTTTGTTTCTGAAAAGATGCCCAAATCGAAAACACCAATTTGATGTTTCCTAATGTGTTCGCACTGTAGCAAAACACTGTATGAATGAACAGTATTTTAAAAAAAAAAAAACTCATTCTACCCAATATGGAAACAAATTTTACCTACCGACTATTCTTCCAATCACTATTGAATACATTCCACATTAAAAAAACAGAAACTGTTACCAAATAGACCTAACGAAAGAACAACTATGGAATGGAAGGCATTAATTATTTGACTCAAAAACTCTCTGTGTAACGTTCGATAAAAGTGGAACCAAAAATAAAAGAGTCCGTTAAAAGTGGAACCAAAAATAAAAGAGTACCAACGAGCCTATGCAAGTAACACCCTATCCAAACAATCCCTTAACAATAGAGATGTCCTGTCCAAACAAAACCCAAGTAGTATACGTTTAAATTTTTAAGGTTTCACCGCATGAATCTGAAAGGACTTGAAGGAGAATATATCTGGTCCTAGTCTATAGAGTGTATGTAAATGTGTGTATGCGTCTCTCTCTCTCTCTCTCTCTATATATATGTATATATATGCGTGTTTATATATCTTTTTAGAGAGAGAAAAACAAGAGGTCATGTTAACGCCAGCGTGGCGTTGAACAATCCGCCGTTAGTCTCGGACGCGGTTTTTCGGCCTTAAGCGATGAAGCTTTCCACCTTTTTTACCGTTACGAAAGCAGAGTCCGGAACATTCCATAAATGCCCTTAAATTCCCCGTAGAATTACACAATAACCCCACACGCGTTCACATTCTTTCTTATTTGGATGGACAATAATACCCATTAATTGCCACTAGTTTTACCAAACTGTTCCCTCTTAACACTTGTGACAACCCTACTCTCCCTATGTATTATATCAAATTGACACCAACTAGTTGTTCACTTCCTTTCTCTTATAGTTTTGTTTGGTATGTCCAATTAATCTTTCATATTATGTCATGTTAGTATGAGATGGATTACGTCTCACATCGCTTGGAAAAAATTGTTGACACTTACAAGGTGATTCATCTGATCTGAACGGATAAGAGAATGTAAAACGGACAATATTTACACAACCTAAATTGAGTCTTGACAGATGATATCAGAGTCAATCCCTAATTGTAATGCGAGGTTAGAACGAATGGTATCAGGGTCAATTCATAACTACAATGTAAGGTTGGCCTTAACACGAACCTTATGAAAATGTTCTTAAAACTCTATATAACAAATAAGGTTTCCTCACCTTAGATTAAACTTTAAAAACAACTCAACAATCAAAATTGATCAAACTTCAACCTGTCAAATTCTATATACATACTAGTGAATGGTCTAAAATTCAAAGACCTTTCATAAAGAAAATATACATTTTTTGCCTTTTAGCAATTTTGAGTCAATAGATCCAAAGGCATGCATTCCTCCCACCAACATCAAAACCGTGTAACATGCACCAAACTTGGATTCTCTGCCTAACAATGGTAAAGTCCGTGATTTCCTAACAAGTGAAGGGTAATTTGGTAAATGCACAGTGAGACCATTCTCTCTCTACCTTTACTTGTAAGACCATTCTCTCTCTTCCTTCCATTGCATGTTAATTAGTATCGGGAAGAAGAATATATATAAAAGCTTGTGTAGAAAGAAAGAGAGGAAGAGTGAGTGGCGGAGGAGAGAGAAAAAAAAAAAAAAAATTATAAACCATAAAAAGGAGATTAAAAATTAAAAAGGAGAGTGGTGAGAAAAAAAAATCAAATGGAGGTGGATCATATTCATCATAGGAGTGTTAGACAATATTACTCCCTCTCTAGAACGCTGCTGCTAATGCCCTTCTCTCTCCTCTTTTTCTCTCTCTTGCTGTGTGTCGACATCAATATTGCAGAAGGTTTCAATCTGACCACCACTACGTTTGGGGAAGGTTACAGCCCTCTGTTCAGCGACTTCAATATCCACCGATCACCGGATGACAAGAAAGTCAGTCTCCTCCTCAACCGCCATTCAGGTATATATATATATATATATATATATATATATATGTATATATATATATATTTATTTGTGTGTATAGTTTTTGATTGATATATATATATATATATTGATAATGAAATTAAATATAAATTTCAGGGTCTGGATTTATTTCGACCGATTATTACAACTATGGTTTGTTCAGCGCGAACATCAAGTTACCGTCCAATTACTCCGCCGGCATCGTTGTAGCCTTTTATGTAAGTTTTTTTAGTTTACATCTTTTATATATATATATATATATATATATATTTCCCTTACATCTTATATATTTGAAAAATGATTTAAGACCGAAATAAAAAACACCGAATATATGGGGGCGAGCCTGACCTAACACTTAGGCTGGACATGTGTGTTACACGACGGTATGCATACTTTTATGTTTATGAATCGAGTTTTTTTTTTAAATTAAATTTGAGTAGTTTTGTCTTGAATGTCAAATGAAGTTACAACCTTCCTTAACACACATGTCCTCTTGTATATTATATACACCGTATTATTATACATGTCAGGATGGTAATGAACGGTTGGATATATCTATTGCACCATGTAAGAAATATGAACAATATATTATACATGTTGGGTTGGTAATGAATAATTCGATGTGTCTGTTGCCCCATCCAAGAAATGAGAGCCGTATATTACACATGTCGGGTTGATAATGAACAATCCAATTTGTACATTACAGGTGCACGAAACGAGAGAAAAAAATTTCTGTATTTATTCCACCGTGCAAGAGATGCATCTAACCTTTCATTAGATAACACATCTCAGAATAAAATTGAAAATTTGGTATACTAATCAAAATCAGTTTTGTGCCACGTTAGGACGTGTTAGAATTTGGCACAATACAACACAAGTATGGCTTATATCGTGTGGCACTGTGAATCGTCCATTTTTCAAATCGGAATAGTGGACCCCACAATATTGGGTCCCACCAGCCACCACTTTATTTTGATATTTGTGTTTATATTACCTTATAAGGGAAGTTTCCTTTGGCTAATCAAAACGCGACAATTTTTCACAAAACAATTACTTTTACCAAAGAACGAATATAATAGAGTGGCATTATTACTTTCCCAATAGATAAGAAAATAGCAAGATTAATGATACGAAAAGTTCACCATTTTTTTTTTTTTTTTTTTTTTTTTTTTTTTTTTTTTACTTACGGGAGGGATTTTGGACTTGTAGATTTGCGCCTTGTTTGTGTCTGGTTTAATTAACAATAACAATTTAATAAAATAAAATAAAAAATTTATTTTTATAAGACGTTCAATTGAAGAAATTTTTGAAAATTTTAGTTTTTTATTTTTTTATTTTAATTTAAAGACTTCAATTAAGTACTCTTAAACACAATAACTATTACTATAAATTTTTTGGTGCAGACATCGAATACAGATTTTTTTGGACCGAAAGGGCACGATGAATTGGACATTGAATTCTTAGGTAACAGACAAGGAATGCCATGGAGGTTTCAGACGAATTTTTATGGAAATGGAAGCACGAGTCGTGGGAGAGAAGAGAGGTACTATCTGTGGTTTGATCCAAGCAAGGAGTTTCATAGATACAGCATTCTCTGGACCTCCAAGAACATCATGTAAGTAAGCATATATATATATATATATATGATCATTATATGATTTTTTGCTTTTCATTCTCCTTTTTCTTTTTCTAGAAATATTTTTGGTACCCATGAATGTCAAGTATAAACTTGTTGTGTATAAACGACTTTTCATGTCCACACCTTTTTGACCTAACTAGAGAGACAGAGATAGAAATAGAGATAGAGATGGAGATAGAGATGGGAAGAAGTTTCTCCACGCATCTTAATTTGGTTTGTGACAACTTTCATAGCCATAACATTTTTTTATTATCATTATTAGGTAAAATGCAAAAAGAAAAAAAAAAAAAAAATTACAACAATTTAGTATATGTATATAAATCTGTATCGTTTAAAAATATGTGTAATTTTTCCCGGTCAATTTCGACCAATGTTTTTTATAAAAACTTCAAAATACCCTTAATAAGACAAAGGAGAGAAAAATTGAAATTAGAATTTTTTATTTTGTGTTAAGGGCATTTTAAGTATTTCAATCTTCAAATTGACAAATTGCCCTATTTGCTTAATTTAAAATATGTAGGAGTTCTTTTGTTTTAACATCAAGAGGATTTTTGAACATTCTGTACTAGAGGTTTCATGTTCTATTTCACTCCCCGATGAGGGTTCTTTTCACCCTTCCCTCACGGTACTACTTCGCTATCGGTCACCCAGGAGTATTTAGCCTTGCAAGGTGGTCCTTGCTGATTCACACGGGATTTCACGTGCCCCATGCTACTCGGGTCAGAGCGTAAGCTGGTGATGCTTTTGGCTACTGGACTCTCACCATTTAGGATTATTATTATTTTAAACAAAAATAGTGTTCTGTCCTTTGGTTGAGACTAATTTCCTCCGAAAATATGACAACAGACTTTGAAAAAGAACTCGAACTCAAAATATGGACACATCATATTAGGTCAAGTGGTAGTTTCGTTTTTTCCGGACCACATATTTTTCAAATTTGTATGGGATTTACTTCCCTTTCATTTTTCATTTTTAATTTTACCATCATTTTAGAATTGATTTGCACCAAAAGGAATGTGCAAGAGAGATAGAGGACCACCTTGGAAGGATTTGTACTCATGGGGGTATAAAGAAGCATAGAAGTGACATTCTTGAATAATGGTAATTATAACACATAGAAAAGTGACTTTATCATCTTTAGAGTCGTGTACTCAATTGTTATTGACAATGACTTGCCCTAATATTAGTTGATTGCAGCTAGCTTTAAATTGTGTGCGTTGGTTAAAAAAGTAGTACATATAATTAAAACATTTAGGCGGGGTATTGTTCGAATGATAAAAGAGATAGTGCTCCCAGTGTCCCGTCTTATGTTTCTAGATTTGATTATTGTTCTCCTATTTTCATTAATTACTAACTCTTAAACACCATCTAGTCATGCTTGAATGTACTTGAAATCCAATTTTGTCCGTAAAAAGTTTGAAAATATATTTTTGTTCATATATTATAATGGTAAACAATAATAAAAGTACCGGCAGTATAATTTTCATTTAATACTTTCAGGTTAAATTCAACACTGACAAAGCAATGCTATTTTTGAAATCATAAGAAATGTCCATGTAATGTAGACATTCAACACAGGTAATTAATCCAAAAATTAAGATTAATTACAATCGCACCCTCTAAAATTTGCCCTAATTACACAGACCGGTCAAAATTAGCTATAATTACATCCATGTATTGTAGACATTCAGCACAGGAGGTTGGTGTAATTTATCCAAGAATTAAGATTAATTACAATTGCACCTTCTAAAGTTTGCTCTAATTACACACACAAGTCAAATTAGCTATAATTATTACACCGACCTCTCTTCAAGTTTAAACTTTGTTTTCAAGGAGCCTTCTTCCATTAACCAACTGTAAAAACCTTCGGAACTTTTTCCTTTGTGACTAATTCGTCCTTAACCTTAATAGAAAGACATTGTTTATTTATTATTATTTTTTCATTTTTAATCATAAAATTAGCAAAAAATATTATTAATATTTCTAAATATCTTAATTATATTTACATTTTTCTAAAATTTCTTTCTTGAAAATGTTTACATGAAAGCATGAATATACATATTTGCCATTTTCTACTTCACCCTTCACTTCTTAGCCTCCATTGACACACTCCCTCTGCAATCTACAGATTTTACGTAGATGACGTTCCAATAAGGGAGGTGGTTCACAGCGAGGAAATGGGGAGCGACTACCCGGCAAAGCCGATGTCACTCTACGCCACCATCTGGGACGCCTCCAGCTGGGCCACGGACGGCGGCAAATACCGAGTCAACTACGAGTACGAGCCCTTCGTCTCGGAGTTCAAGGACCTCGTCCTCCAAGGCTGCAAAATCAACCCCATCATGCAAACCGTCTCTGCCGCAGGCTGCCGCGAGAACGCCTCCAAGCTGGAGGCCGCCAACTACGCCAACATCACCCCGCGGCAGCGCTCCGCCATGAAGCGGTTCCGGGAGAAGTACATGTACTATTCATACTGCTACGACAGCGTCCGGTACCCGGTGCCCTTGCCGGAGTGTGTCATTGTCCCGACAGAGAAGAAGCTGTTTAAGGTGACCGGGAGGCTGAAGAAGGCGTTGAGAATTAAGTTTGGGAAGAAACCCCGGACCCACCTCCAGCGGAGGAGCGGCGGTTCGTCACGGCGTAGTCCGGTGATTCCCGGCGGTGGTGGCGGTGGTGGCAGCGGTAGCTCGTCGCAGCTGAGACGGGTGGTTGTTTCCGGTGATGGTGGCGGTGGTGGCGGTAGGCTGAAGGCGGATATTTGACTAGTGCATGAAACGCGTATATATATGGTATGGTTTGGTGTTGGTTCAGTTATTTTGTTAATTATTATTTTACGGAGACTTCATGTAATCAGATTATGATAGTATATAAGATAATGAGTTTTCAGGTTTTACTGTTACAAACTAGCTAGGTTTTGCTTTTGTGTTTTCATTTGAATACTTGCTGCTATTTCATAGTATTCATACATATTGTCTTTTTGGAAGGGATTATTTCATACATTTCCTAAGGTTTATATATATATACACACACATATGTATATATTTCATAGTATTTATATATAATATTATTTTCAAAAAAAAAAAAAATTGTTTTAGCAAAGTATTGATCCAAAAGATAAGTCTTGTGGATTCCACTTGAATGCATGGTCTTACAAGCTTGAAAAGGTTCCACTTCGATTTTGGTGAGTGCAGCTAGTTTCAAACTAGTAAATGTTATTCAAGTCGAAAAAAGTAGACTGAATAAACAATGAGGGAAATAAAAATAAAAAGTTTGAGGTCAACCTAAATTTTAAAAAACTTAGGGTTTCAGCATAAAAATTCAAAAATTTTGAGGGTAGATTGATTATCTAAAAAATACAGGATTTCTCTTCATCATCCAATGATGAAACCCTAATCTTATATTTGTGGAGAAATGAAAAATAATAAAGTTATCAAGATTTTAATGTAAGAATAGGCTTCTCATTGAATATGGTATGCATCATTGCAAAACAAACCAAGTCAGTTTTAAACTAAATTTCCTCTAATTCCAAATCCAAATTCAAATCAGAGAATGCAACATAAATGTAAAAGTAAAAGCCTTTGCCTTTATATATGAACAAGGTGGTACAGAATTCAAAGCTCAAGGATGGTCGTGCATAAGATTTCCCTATATAGGGCATTCTTGTCAAAAAAACAAACATTACCCAGTGACCTAATTAGCAGAGCGCCCAACTCCCCTGGTGTGCCCATGTTTAGGTCCCCCTCCCCTTAGTTTGTCAAGATAAAAAAAATAAAATAAAAATTCTTGTAGCAAAGCAAAAAAAATAAAAATAAAAATAAAAATAAAAAAAATAAAAAAAAGGGCTCTAGTTAATAACTAATATGATAGTGTATAACTTATATGGCCTAAGTAAATGTCAAGAATGAAACAATTTCTGGTTGTTGTTAGTTGAACAACCCATCCTACTTTTGAAACAATAACGATAACTAACCATTTCAACAAAGAAAAAAAGAAAGAAACTAGTGGATTGGGTTGAGTTCTGCTGTGGTCATCATGTGTAGGTCACATGTTAGTTGATTTTTGTCCATGATGCTCTCTGTTCATTGAATTAGATACAAGACTCATTTAGTTGTATGTATAAATTAGAAACTAGATTCAATATAGATAGTTGTATGCATCACCCTTATGGCAAATCTCTCTAAATAAAATTAGTTTCTTTAGAGATTAGATAGAAGTCCAACTCCACATTAAGCTTGACAGTTAACACATTACTAAAGCATGGTTTTTTGGAGTTAGCTCACCCTCGCGGGATCGCGATCCATTGTCCCGGCCATTGTGGCATGTGTGTCAATCAGGGCATAAGAGGAATGATGACAACATCATCCTCACCTTTCTCCGGCTAATCACCGACAGTCTGTTCAGGGTTCCAAACTCAACGATAGCAACTAAACACGGCACTACTAAATGGGCAATAACTCCTTGAAGTATAGAATCAGAAAAACAAAAATTCTCACTTTCCAACTATATATAATATACACACACACATATATATATGACCCTAGAGTGTAAATCTATGAGCCAAATCAGTTTTTGTCCCATACCCTGATCACTAATTTCCATAGGAAATATCTCCAGTACAATGCATTCTACTGAAGAAATGACATCTCAGTTTCAACAGCAAAAGCACTTGATGTAATCAACAGAAAGTTGTTACAAAGCATTTGAAAGCTCAAATTTGGAGAAAACTTTGGGCAGATTAACGTTTGAATATTAGAAATATTAATTAATATAAGTGTATAAAAAATGCATAAAAGAGTAGAGTACGGCCTAGGGAGGATGAGATTCATGTAATTTTATGCACAACAATGATGTCAGAACTCAGTTCTCCAATATTAGTGCCTAATTGAAGTCGTCCTTGGACCCTTTCACTAACACACAATGAAAATAACAGCCGAGACAACAACCACCACCAGAACAAATATATATATTTATATATCTGAAAGCACAGATGTGAAACTAATCAGCTTTTATATCTAATGCTATGGCTCTAAAATTGAAACAAATGTATGAAAGTCCTCCTGCTACAAACATACCAAGTCAAACAAAAATGGAGGATGAAGAAGAAATGAATTCATAAACCACTCAAAGGCATGTCCATCTTTCTAACAAGTTGCTGGAGAAAAAAGACAGCTGAAACTTGAAATTAAATGGGGCTCCATCTATGCATGAATGAGGAATGAGACTACTATTGACTAGACAATGAAACATCATGGGAACTGGAACGACCCTCCAATTTGAGAATTACCTGATGGGGGGTTGATTGCCACCCAGAGGAGAGATATAGTAATTGCAATTAACCCTGACCAAACAAACACGATCGTCGGGGTCCTCCCTCGCCTTCCCATGAGCCCTTTTGCAAAGGGGTAAAGATGAGCCAAGACCCAGAAGCTGAAGAACACACCTCCTATCAAACGACTCCACTGTGGTATAGTGCTATATATCGTTCTGCTAACCCCAACTGCGATTGCAATCAAGTTTGTAATCATGATTGTAATAGGAGGTATCATCAGGGACGTCCATTTGATGACGTATAGATCCGCAAATTCATCATCAGCATCATCACCAGCAGACTTTGAGGTCAAAGTGAATGATATCTCAATACCGGCAATGACCTTCAGTAAACCCTGGAGCACAGCAGCAAGATGGGCACTTGTGCCTCCAATTAACCAGAATTGCTCATTTCGCCACCAGTCTTCCAGTGCAATGCCAGACCACTTGATCTCGAGCACGGCTAGCATGCAAAGAGTCAATGTGATGACTAGGAGGTATGTAAGGAAGGTTACATTCAGGGTCTGGACGATGAACTGACCAGAGAATAGAGAGAGTGCTGGAAGGAAGCAGTAAACAATGAGAAAAATAGATGTGAAGGGGTAGATGCCAACATTGAGGTAAGCAATCCTCTGTAAAAACTTCATCTTAGGACTAGCCAAAAGAGCATTATTCCGAGAGAAGAATATCTCAACAGAACCGGTGGCCCACCGAAGGACCTGGTGGAGCCGATCAGTCATATTAATTGGAGCAGTCCCACGAAAGGCATCCCTCTTGGTCACACAATAAATGGATCTCCATCCCCGATTGTGCATCCTATATCCTGTCACCACATCTTCAGTTACAGATCCATAAATCCATCCAATACGACCGCCCCATTCAGTTTTCTCTTCATACCAGCATGAGATCACACCAATTGCTTCAGCAACTGTTGACGCATCAAGAAGCTCCCGAGGAATGGTAAGAGCACCAGGAGGACGTCCATTCTTCACAGCAGGGTGATCAGCAAGTGGTCGGCCTTGGAATTCAGTCACTGGGATCGATTCAAGAAGAAAAGTTGAGTTCCCAAACTTTTTAGGAATCAGAGAGAGATTCATTTCCTCATCATCAGAATCTCCCATTCTAAGTGATCTGTTCACTTCAGGAGCAGAAGCAACACTTACAGACTTTTTGCGACGAGCAAAGCAACAGCTGCAACAACCATTCTGGTATTCTTTTGACCGTGGTGGGTCAAAACCATAAATGGCTATCCTGCGGAAGAGGCATCCAGTACCCACATAAACGGGACCCTGAAGCCCATCAAGGGCACGCATGTTAACATCAAAGAAAACAGTGTTGTGATTGGCATAACGATCAGATGGATCAATTCCTTCGAATCTCTGAGGAAACTGGACATAACAAATTCGGTCACCACCACGGTCCATCATGAAACACATGCCTTCTCGTATTGCCCGGCAATTGTAAATGTAATGGTCACAATCAAGGTTAAGAATAAAGGGACCATTGGACATGATTGCTGAGGCTCGAACCAAGGCATTCATTGCCCCAGCCTTCTTGTTGTGATCATAGCCAGGGCGTTTTTCACGAGAAACATAAACCAGCAAAGGAAGCCGAATGTCAACTTCTGTCAGATCAATTGGATTGGTTTCCCCTGCTGTGCCACAAAGTGGTTCATCACTAGGTGGTTTCAACATCACCTGCAGATTACAGAACCATGTTGTTATGAAACACACCACCATAGACATCCTAATTTATGCCTGAGTTAAGCTTCCAAACACCAAATACACACAAAAAATAAATGATAAAGATGTCCGACAAAGGGATTGCCGATTGACAAAGTAAAAGGAGGAAAAAAATTAGAGGGTTTGTGGCTATATGCCGCACTACGGTGCCTGCAAGTGTCCATGAATATGATTATCAGTGTGTTCAAATAACTTCTGTTGGAATAAAAGAACAGGCTAAGTAAGTTTTTGTTAGTCTAAGAGAAGAGGCTAAGTAAGCTTCCGAGAAAGTGGACACAAAATACACCAAGTGCAGCTTGGTCAGTCACAGTATCTGCTGCGTTCAGCACATTGACACCCTATCTGTAACTAACAGATGATAGAAGGCAGGCCTACAGAAGAATAGAAGTTGCTGTTCTGGGGTGCAAGGGCCAGTAACTTCTATCCATCCTACTAATAGTCTTAATCTGTTTTAATCTGATACCATATAAGATTCATTACAGGCCCTGATTAAGGATAAATTTCTCTAAATTAGTACCTGTATGATTCCTGCATGATCACCCCTAGAGTGCTCGGGAGCGGAGACCATCCAAGTGCCAGGCCAATGAGTTCCATCTGCCATCCATGTAGCTTTTGGGAGCTTCACTTTTTCCAACAGTTCATCGTTGTTGTTCTCTCTCTCTAGCTTCATAGCTTTGATTTCCTCTCTAGCATTATAGGCATCAGAACGACGCCGGATTGATTCAGGAAGGGCATTGATCCGAACCTTGTACTCATCATACTCACGCTTTACCCGTCTACGATCCCTGACAAAATCTGAACGCACCTTATTTTTATAAGGATCTCTCTTCAAATTGAAATAAGATTCTGGGTTC